TTACAAACCCAGCCAAGTTAGCTCGGTTCAAGAAGTGATAATGTACAACATTTAACTACATACAGTTTCAAGCACTTTTTGTATGATGTTAATTTTTCAATAAGTTCATTCATCCGTCGCGTGCCCCTGAAAGTTGTGCATGTCCCCAAGATTATGGTAATTCCGATTGATACTGAAAAGACTATCCTCACTGGCCTTGTGTGTAAAAGAAATCTACTTCACTTCCCATCATAAGAAGATTATGTATGCTGAGCTGCAATAAACTGGAAAAATAAATAATAATATACTAATAATAAATATTTATTTGATTTCCAATTACACATGTTAACATACAGGAACAAATATGATTACAGTTAAATAAAGTAACAATAAGTCTCACAAAAATAACATGCTATGATAAAATTGAAACTATGTGTGGCTTAATAATGAAGAATTTACAAAATAAAAATAGAAAAGTTAAGTTTATAATATTAGCTACCTGCCTGAACTAGTTTGAGTACCTGTGTTTCAGATATCACTTACACAATGGGGAAAAATATATAAGGAACAAAATTAATACAATTCATTTGCAATATCATAATACATTAGAGAAGTTTTCACCACAATTCATGCCGTGGTCGTTGTTAGAGGCAACTATGAAAATGACAGAAGTCTTTTTTTCTATAAAATTCAAGCAAAAAAAAAACTTACTGTTCACTGTATGATAAGTAGCTGCTGCAGCCCATTGACACCTGCGACCGATTTCAAATAAAGATTGTGACAGATGAGTCCTCACCTCTGAGGACTGAGATGGAATGCCTCACAGCCTGTTATTATACTGGCTCTCTACTCTGTTATATTGCTGCTCTGTTATATTGCTGCTCTGTTATATTGCTGCTCTGTCATATTACTGCTCTGTTATACTTTCTCTATTCCCTTCAGATCACAAAACAGCAATACACGCACTGCTGTGTATATAGTTATTGCTATTGCTATATTGGTATTGCTGCTACATACATAAATAGACTTACAGCTCATTTGTCATCTAATTATTATATAAATTAACTTTTTTTTCACTTTACTGTCAAGAAACTATCAATAATAACCCAGAGTTAAGAAATGTTACACCCCTGTGTCCCGTAGAGCGAGTAAACCCATTGGTCCTGAGCTTAATAACTCTCTAGTCGTATCGGATTGCCATTCCATCGAAATTTAAGATTGAGAGGACATAGAATGCACCTGTACTTGCGCACGTATCATGCTCTATAATTAGTAGATTAAAACTGGTCCCTATAGTTGAAATTAGGTCTAGAGGACGCCGCTGATCCTGAAACTGCTGTTATGTCATTAATGTAAAGTATAAATAGGATAGTACACTTCTTTGTGGGTTGCCTGAGCTGAATTCTATATTTTCAGATGGAACAGAACTAATTGCATTATTAATTATTTTATTGATGACACCTTTTTTTTTTTGTTATACGTCCCAATATTTTAAAATTTATTCGCCTTGTAAACTTGTTTTAAATTTTCACTTACCTATACAACTATGACGTATACGTCCATATATATCAAATGCAAACGAATATTTGACCATAAAAGTGTTGGAGGAAGACTTAAGTCGCAGCGGTGCCATACCAAATATGCGTCAGAATCGTATAACCAGCGCTAACGATTCATGCACTTCAACACTATACTGAGACATACTGATTTTTTAAAATATTTATTTAAATTCGTCTGCAATAAAAAGAAAAGTTATAGCAATAATTTCAATTACCCCTTGAGACAAACATTACTTAATAATAGGTCTTTACCTAATTAAAAATTGCCGTTCTGCAGTAGTGGCCATTTCACAACAAAATAATTTTTGTTTGAATATGAATTCTAATTTCAAATTAATTTTATTTTAAAAACATGGAATTCTTTTTTCAAAATTAATCATTTGTTTATTGATAAGCGTTACATTTTCATTGTATTTAAATCTTTTATGTCATCATGGATACGTTAAAAATCGAAAAATTAAGGAATACGAGTACCGTCGTGGCAGCAACGCGGCGCAAGCGGCTCGCAACATCAACGATGTTTACAACGCGCTAGCGCGCGAATGTTTACATAATATTCCAAAATAATTATTGCGAAAACGCATTTCACATTCAAAAAAATTTCTAACAATTAAAAGTAACTTACACTGTATGTATCTAAATTAATAATAAATTAAGACCGTACTAAATAAAAAAGCAAAACATTAAAAGTTGAAAGCTTTTTTAGATAGCGTTGTTGATTTACTTGTTTGTTTATGAAAAGTATTTATCTGTCTTAGTCTGAGAGCTGGCGACGAATTTTAGTAATGTCCTTTTGGGTAGTTGAAATTGTGAAAAAATTATAAATTGTGAAAATATTGGGAATGTCCTTTTGGGTAGTTGAAATTGTGAAAAAATTATAATATAATTTACTTACAGAATACTAGCGTAAAATAGCAGCTTAACGCTGTTGTGTTTCGTATGGTGAGTGTAGAAAACGGGGGACCCTTTTTACTGGAAAAGAGGCATTCCATCTTAGTCCATCTGCATTTCATTTTGATTCGCAAACGCATCTGCATTTTGATTCGCAAACGAGGATAAATGTAGGTGTCTATGGGCACAGCAACCACTTACCATCAGGTGGACTGTATGCTCGTTTGTCACCATATCCTATAAAAAAAAAACTTGTCAATTGGCGAATCCAGTTCCCCGAGTCTGACAGAGCGTTTGCGGTTATTTCATTACTGCGCAGCACATAAAATTTGCAAAAAAAAAATCCCAAAAAAATGTTTTTTGGGCAACATGATTTTTTTTATCTTAATTTACGTTTTATATAATTTAAAAAAAAATCTTAGACATTTTGTTGGTTATAAAGTATTACCAGACCTCTCCACGTATATACTTTTTTATAATTCCCAAAAATATACTTTTGGTAATCTCAAATTTTAATCACGTATTAATTGAATAATTATATATTAGCATTAATATGCTAATTTATTAATAACCGCAAACTCTCTGCCAGACTCGTGGCACTAGATTCGCCAATTGACGAAATTAAATGTTTTACAATTTCAACTTGCCAAAAGGACCTTCCCAAAATTCGTCACCAGCTCTCAGACTATCGCTGACTATTCTGGCAAACAACGCGTAATTATATTTTAAACATAGCCTATGTAATAACTACTCACGAATAAATTTGATCCTATCTTTAGGCTAGGGTGAGTTCCGTAAATAATTAAACGCTACATTGCACATTACATTACAAACAAAACATAATAGCCCACGAATCAATATGTTTTATATCATAAAATTTTCCAGCATAATTATCATCAAAATTTGGTTTTAATTAAGCCTTTTTAACTCTTTTTACTTGAACTTTAAGCATCTTTGTATGAATATCATAGCATTTAATTTAGTTTAGATTTCACCTATTTCTGAATGCCTGAGTAATCTGAAATTTTACAGATGCATTAATAACCGATAAATATACAATAATTGTATGACCATGAGCTAGTATTCTCACAAGAGTCATCACAGCTCTTGATTTATACGTGTTGTTTAATTTTTTTTAACTCTAATTAAACTCTGAACTCTACTATTATTACTGTGTTCATAACTAATTCAAAGTTTCCTTCGTAGAATTTAAGAAAGAAATATTAAAGCCTATATGGATTGTTTGGTATATATTGCTCACAACATTTACAGCCGTGTTAGTGTAAGTCTTAGCCCCGATTATGTGTTCCCTCCTACCTTTACCTCGTGTGTAGAGTAGCCTGTTACTCTTGGTATTGTAAAATTTGTTAAGCACTCTTATTTTTGTGTGTCAACCACAAAGTAAAAATCATGTCAGAATCACGAACATTATATTGGAATAATGATTATAATAATTCCCAAAACAAAATTTGTACCTTGGTTTAATTTTATTACTGTGGTTTTTTTTGTAAAGTTAGTATTTCAGTTTTTTTACATTCTTTGCAACTTCTTTATTCATTGGAATTTGTTGAAATGACAATTTTGTAGAGAATTATTTATGTCTGCAGCAGTCGTTGTTCTAATAAAAATTATAAAATTATTAAAGTGGAAAGCGTAGAGTAATTCTTAGCATTGAGTACACATGTTTCAAACTTTCTCGTTGCGTCTTTTTCAATCAAGCAGTAATAAATATAATCTTAGTGTTCTATCAACATTAGGATCAGTCAAAGTTTTACCTGCAGCCATCAACCTATGCAGCCCTGTCGACTTATGATCAATTGGCTGTTCATGTGATTGTTTTGCAAAGTATTCAATGCCCGATCGTAACATCAATACAGTTTTTTTGTCAGTATATATTAGCAAGTATTTGAGATATAAATAATCTGTCTTGCCAGTAGGAAGGGAAAAAATCTTCTTTCTGAATCATTTATTAACTAAAATATGCGAATTTTTTATTGATACAGTTTTACCTGATAGGCGTGTATTGTAAGCATAGAGAGAACCAAAATTGAGTCAATGTAATTGTCTCACTTTTTCTAATTTAATTTTCAAATACGTAGGTTACTCAATACGTTTTGAGATGCTCGAAATTTAAAAAAGGCACGCACCTGTGTCATAGGTTTCTAAAAAGCAAACTTATTTAAAAATACAACTCCATAAGGCAATTGCTCAATATTAAAAAAAAAAACAATGTTCTATTAATTTTCCTGCAACGCTTTCCGCGCTTTTCATTTAAAACGATTGATCTTACCCGTGAATGTTTACGCGCAATGATATATTATGATTTCAAATTTGATTTAACTGAACAATTAAGGTTACACAGTATTAGGATTATGGGTTTGGATTCTCAATAAAATGTTTTCTTGATAATAAATCTTTTATTTAGTATCTATGCACATTCACGGTAAGAAGTTCTACAGTTCTACAAAACAACAACGCCATCTGGCTGCCAATAAAAAAAATATAAATGAATGCGTTCAGATTTAAATTTTCTTTTTCTTAATTTAACACTCCCACTAAAATTTAAATCTCTTAACTAATTATCTGATCCCTTATATAAGTAAAAGTTTGAGTGGGCAATGCCTTAGTCAATATATCTGCTAATTGATATTTACTAGGAACATAATTAATTTTAATCATGCCTAACTCAACTTTTTCTCTAATAAAATAGTATTTAACATTTATGTGCTTCGTTCTTTTATGATAAACAGAATTGTTTATTAGATTTATCCCACTTTGATTATCAATAAACATAGTTACACATTTACAATTTTTACCTAAATCTAACATTAATTGCCGCAGCCATATCATTTCTTTTGCTGCTTCACATGCAGCTACAAATTCTGCCTCAGTAGTGGAGAGAGCAATGGTCTTTTGTTTTTGGCTGGACCAAGTAATTGGTCCACCGTTCATCATAAAAATATAGCCTGTTGTTGACTTACGTGTATCGACATCACTTGCATAATCAGAATCAGAGTAACCTATTAAGCCATCACTTTCTCCATACTTTATACACAAATCTTTAGTATTAATTAAGTATCTAACTATACGTTTGACAGCATTTACATGTTGCTGACTAGGATTGTTTACATATCTGCTTAATACATTCACAGCAAATGATATGTCAGGTCTAGAAACAGAACACAAAAATAATAAAGAACCAATAAGTTCCCTATATGGAAAATTAATAATGTTTTCATCCTCATTCTTTGTCATAATTACATTGGCATCTGCTGGAGTACTAGTTGGAGTTGCATTTGTCATACAAAATCTCTCAATAATTTGTTCTATATAATCTCTTTGGTGAATATGGATACAATTATTTATTCTCTCAATTTCCATACCAACAAAATATCTCAATGGCATCACTTTTATTTTAAAAGCTTGTTTCAAATATTCTATAATTTCTTGGATCAGTTGTTTACTAGAAGATATTACAAGGGCATTATCAACATAAGTAATTAAAATTACTTTAATCTTATTGAAAACCCCTATAAAAATACAATTACCAGCCTGAGATTGTACAAAACCATATTTCATTAAAAACTCAGTGAACCTTTTGTTCCAACAACGAGAGGCCTGTTTCAACCCATACAAAGATTTATTTTATTTTAACACATAACTTTTATCTAAAATTACACCCTCAGGCACTTCTATAAAAATATTTTCCTCAAGATACCCATTAATAAAAGCAGTCTTTACATCAAACTGTTGAATTTCTAACTAATACTTTGCTGCAATAGAAAGAACAATTCTTATAGAGTCATACCTAGTAGTCGGAGAAAATATTTCTTGGTAGTCCACATCTTTAATCCGAGTAAACCCTCGTGCACACAGACGAGCCTTGTACCGTGTCTGATTATCTTCATTCTTCTTGATTGCGAATACCCACTAGGTAGTAAGGGTCCGCTGACCAGCTCTTGTTACCACACTCCATGTGTTGTTCTCTTCATGTGCAGATAATTCTTCCCTAATGGCTTGAGACCATTCATTTTTCTGTGGACTTTGTATGGCTTCATCATATGTCTGACGCAATGACAATTCAACAAGGTTAGCTTCAAAACGTCTATTATTTTTTGGCCTCAAATTTATGTTACACTGTGGCACATCTTCTATTTCTTGAGACGGCTCATATGTAGGATCATCACTGTTGCAACTCAATAAGCTGTCATCAGATTGTAATGCTACAATTTCCATTAGTGTTTCATCCACATTTCTTGCTTCAGTTTCATCATTTTGTATCTTATCTTCATTTTCATCAGTTATACATATCTCATTAATATTCTTTCTTATTGCTGGAATTTGATGTTCATCAAAAATCACATTTCTTGAAATTTTGATTGACTTATTATTTACATCATACATTCTGTAATTGGTATTATCATAGCCAACATTAGTCCATTTATATATCTTTTTATCAACACTTTACCAATGCCACACACTTCTACAGACTGTTTGTTTCCTAAAGTTAATATCTTCTGACTGCATTCAACCAGTTCCATAAAGAATTCCTTTCTATAAGTCATATGTGCAGAGGCTCCACTGTCTACAATCCAAGTATTCTCTTCTGTGCTAGACGCGTTATTCTCTACATAAAACGCTAACACATCTGCACCTTCTTGGTGAGGTTTTCTTGACTTAAATTTTCTTGGAGCACGACATTCTCCAGCAAAGTGTCCTCGCTTTCCACAGTTATAACATTCAAACCTGTGTTTGGTATTTTTATTTTGATTAACTCCACTCTGCATCGGCTCACATTGTTTTGATTTCAACTTCCATCCTTTATTAGCAACAAGGAGAGCTGTTTCTTGTTCTTCTTCGCCTAATAAACTTGCTTCTTCATCTAAGAGGCGAGCAGTTAAATTCACAATAGTCTGTTGTTTTGAATTCAATGAAATCCACGCTTGGCGCAGTGATCTGTACTTAGGTGGCAATGTTCCTAAAATGTTTGTTATGATGGCCATGTCACTGACAGTCTCACCACTCTCTTTTAGTTGTTTAGCCAGGGATTCCACCTTTGAGATATGTTGAGCCACACTGTCACCCGGCAACATTTTATACTGATAAAACTTTTCATGGACTAGCATTTTACACAACTCACTTTTTTGTTCGTATACCGATTCAAGTTTTGTCATTATTTCCTTGGCAGTCTCACAATTCTCTATTAATTTTATTTGTTTGAAATCCATTGACGAAGTCATGATGAACATTGCCATACCATCATTTTTCGACCATTCAGCACTGTTTTGATCCGTTCTTGGCACTCTGATATCAATTCCTTTTGCCTTTAAAGCGCATTTTATCTGGAATTTCTACTGGCGAAAATTATTTCCATCAAATTTCTCGAGATTCATTGACCGTGTGGTATCCATTTTTAGGTTATTTGTCAATGAATATTCCGTACTATTCCGTAGCTGTTGTAATATGTTTCTTTACCTTTCCTTTCTATTAACAGTGTCCTGGGCCCATAACCTATTAGGATTATGGGTTTGGATTCTCAATAAAATGTTTTCTTGATAATAAATCTTTTATTTAGTATCTATGCACATTCACGGTAAGAAGTTCTACAGTTCTACAAAGCAACAACGCCATCTGGCTGCCAATAAAAAAAAATATAAATGAATGCGTTCAGATTTAAATTTTCTTTTTCTAAATTTAACACACAGGTTACAATCAGCATTAGGAGACGCAGCTCCACTACCCGCAATAATTTTTAGGTGGTTTGCTGAATTCAAAATTAATCTTAAAGATGACCAAAGAGCCGAGGCCCCGCAAACAACGTAGTAACGGCAGAAAATGTATGGACTGCTGAAATGTTGGTGCGAGAAGACCCACGAATCACATATACGGACATCGAAAATATTGTAGACAATAGTTGGTGGAGCTACACCAACATCTTGGAGTGAGGAAGTTTTGTTGTCGATGGATCCCTTGTTTGCTCTCCGAAAGCGAAAACCAGACTCGTGTGGATTGGTGCCATGAAATGCGTCTACGTTTTGAAAACGGGGCATCTATGCGTGTTTCAAAAATCATTACTGGTGACGAGACATGCATCTATCAATGTGATCCGAAATAAAAGGTAATCATTTGTATGGGTCTACTCAGAAGGATAGTTTTCGACAAAACTGCAAAGACCTCGCAATGTCGGCAAAAAAATGGTGGCTAGAGTTTTTTCGCAGAGCGGACATTTGTCGACATCAATGCTGGAAAATTGTAGGTCAGTCAAATCTGAATAGTATTCTTTCCCTTAAGCTTTTCATACTGTGCGGTAGAGAAAACCAAAGACCAGGCTACGGGGAATCATGCTGCATCACGATAACGCCCCTTCACACACCTCCTTTAGAACAAAAGCATTTATTGAGGAATCTGGTTTGAAACTCTAAGTCACCCACCCTACAGCCCTAACTTAGCTCCTTCTGAATTCTTATTGTTCCCAAGAGTCAAAGAAAAACTAAAAGGCAAGTTTTTTTCAAATGCCGAAGAAGCCGTGGCTGCCCACAAAGAAGCGATTTCCGACCTGTCAGATCAAGACTGGCAAAAGTGTTTTCAGAGTTGGTTTAGGCGAATTGAACTTTGTATAGAGCATGATGGAGAATATTTTGAAAATATGTAAAATAAATATTAATAGCATCTATAATATATTTTGTATATCTCAAAACTTATTGAGTGACCTACGTAAGGCAAAAAGAGAAACGTATTGAAAGATGTTGCGTATAATATATGTATAGAACTTTAATGACAAGTGATCTCAAAAAGGTCTACAAAAGTCGTCCAGTCGGAGAGGACCCCGGAGAACCTTGGCAGGTCCAGAGTTGGGAGTCGTTCCAACAGCTCCGCCTGAGTAGGCTGCTTCCGAGAGCACTCGGCCAGGCCACTCAGCCGAGCTTCACTCGCTTCCTTAGCATACTTGGTCCCCGCCACGATCAAGTCGTCCGTGAGGGGTAAAAAAAACGGGTAACACGTTCGTAATCGACTTATTTGTAGTTGTGATGGAGCGAGAAAAGAGGAGGCAGACCGCGGTCGTGTCGCGGTTATTATACTATCGTAGCGTTGCTCTCTGTGTACGCTCCGTGAAGTCTTGGTGTCAATTATGCAAACACTAATAAATAAAATATTTCAGCTAAAACACATCTCATTGAACTTGAACGTGCGCAGCGTGTGTTATTAAAACTCATTGAATGCCTTTCTCTAGGACACCCGACCGTCGACTTATATAAAAAATGTAGCTTACTTATCATACGAAAATTTTAGATATTCCAGTCTATTCGTAAATTTTACAAAACTACTACTTCTCAACACCAGGTAAGTGATAAGAAGACCGTCCGTTATCGCTTGCCTGCCTACAAGAGCAAATTCGCTAGAAGACACTTTAACTACTCTGCTATATTACTATATAACAAATTAAAGATTTATTAGACGGCTCCCTGGTGCAGTGCCTTAGCAATGAGTTGCTACGCTGGGGGACGCGTGTTCAAATCCCGCACGGAACCAGTATTTGTATGGCCTACAAATAATTGTTCCGGGTCTGGATGTTTGTCCTTGTGCAATTTGTGTTTGTAAACTGCCTCCACGATACAGGAGAAAATCCTAGTGTGCGGGTAACTTTTTTATATAATAAAAAAAAATTAAATGCCATTTTTTAAACAACACATCGAAGTAATTATAATATCAACACAATTTTATTAATGTGGTTATTAACTTTTATTAAAGTAATTATAACAATAACGCAACAGAAAATCTTATTGTTTCCTCTAAAAAATACTAATAAACGATGCATGTAGTGACGAGTTATATTTATTTTATATGAGTTTATTTATTATATTAAAGTACTAAGTAGACTAAATTGCCCGAAAATCCGTAATTGGTGTTCAAGAAGTAAATGGTACCAGAAAGGAAAAAAGTAGGACTATCTACAAAAAGAAATGAGATGCCATCAAAAACATAACTTGTAAAAAAAACCAAGCCTCGCAACTCAGTTCTTCTACCGTAAAACGTGGTGAGATCTATAAAATACCAAGTCGGTTAATTTATTCAGTGCCTACTTAAGGGTCCTTCTGTCTCAAGCTATTACGTAATTAGCTAACGTAACAACATCTTATATATGTAGTGACCATATCAATATTAAAAATCTTTTATGTTTTAAATACATAGATTGACTTGGCAATCGCACTCTGCAATCTAATTTAATATAAAATGTATTACTTGTGAAATACATTGTGTTTTCGTGCGATGGCCAAGTCAATGTATTTATTTAAAACATAAAA